GGCCAGACGACGCCCCAGCGCCAGCGTCCCCCAGCGCCCAGGACCCCGGCGTGGACATGCAGATGCAGCAGTTCTACCCGATGGCGAAGGCCACAGGCGACAAGGCCGTCGTGGAGTTCCTGGAGGCTCGCTTTCCATCCCTTGCTTCGTCTTCGAAACCAGAGGTGGCACCAGGATTGAAATGGTGGAGGTCACCCAGAAGTACCAGGGCTTTCAGGCGGCCCAGGCGAAGCTCAAGAAACAGTATTTGGAGGCCCAGAAGATCTTACAGGACCTGGGTAGTAAGATTCAGGACAACGTTGCCGAGATCATCACCATCAAGACCGAAATGCGGCGTTTGGAAGTCCGATTGGGCACGTCTGCGCCCGACCCGCCTCCTGCTGCTGAGCGGAAGCTTGCGGAGATTTCGGAGGACGACCTCAAGCTTCTCTCGCCGGGCATGCAGGCGAAGCACAGTGCCGACAGGAAAGACGAGAGGAGGCACCGCGAGAGCATGCAGGCCGCGCGGCGGACGAACACGAGAAGGTGCTGGACCAGCTCAACGCGGAGCTGCTGGCGGCCATTGAGGTGCAGAAGGCTGCTCAGGAGCGCGTCGCCAAGATCAAACGGAAGCGCGAGGAGGAGGCCGCCCCACCCGCAGGGGCGAGCCGGGCAGGCGCGGCGGACGCCCCCATGCCTGAGGCCAGCGGCGGCGTGCCCAGCGGCGGAACTGGTGCGGAAGCCGCACCGCAGACCTGTTCAGACGCGTCGGCTGCCTCCTCTCCTGGGGATCCCCAACTCAGCTCCCCCCCAGGCCTCCAAAAACCGTATTGAACAAATCAAGACGGAGGTTTCTCTGGACTTTCGGCCTCTAGCGGCCCTCGCCGGGCTCTGGGACCATCAAAAAACGACTCAGGATGAAAAACCAGTCCTGGGGAATGGGTCGAGACTTCTGGGGACCCCGTACTGAACGAATCACGACATCGGATCTCTGGGTCCTTCAGGAGCCGGCGAACCGCTTCTTGGGGCTCTCTTGGAGCGCTCTCGGGCGCTCTTGTAGCGGTCTTGGGGCCGTTAGGGGCATCTTGGGAGCCATCTTGAGCCAGCCTGGGCTATCTGAGCCATCTTGGAGGTCCTCTTGGCCTCTCTGAGGCTGCTCGGGGGCCTCAGGGGGGCCTCAGGGGGGCCTCTTGGGGCCCTCTTGAGACCCTCTTGGGGCCATCTTGGGGCTCTCTTGGGGCTCTCTTGGGAGCCCTGGAGCGCCTCTTGGGACCATTTTCGAGGCTATCGATCAAAGGAGGGAGGGCCCCGATCGACGCCCCCCCCCCTCGGGGGCCACGATCCTCGTGAGGGGTGTCAAAGATTGGCCCTCCCAGGAGCCGATTTTGGACGTTCCGACGATTTGCGGCCTCGCTCACTCCCACCCGCCCTCCCAACACATACGTAGCACCCGAGCCTGGCCCGAGCCGCAGCATATGCAACACTCGCATTTAGATGGGCAGCTACTGGGGGCGAATCCGCCGCCGTCGCCGCCGCCGCCGCCGGCCGCCGCCGCCGCCGCGCCGCCGCCGCCGCCGCCGCCGCCGCCGCCGCTATCCGCCGCCGCCGCCGCCGCCGCCGGGTGCCGAATCGCCGCAGCCGCAGCCCCTGCCGCCGCAACCACTGCCGCCACCGCTGCCGCCGCCGCCGCCGCCGCCGCAGCCGCCGCGCGCCGCCGCCCCTGCCGCCACCGCTGCCACCGCCGCCGCCGCCGCCGCCGCAGCCGCCGCAGCTGGTGCCCCCGCCGCAGCCGCCGCCGCCGCCAAGTGTACTTTGTGCCGTTTTTTTTGACAGGGATGGTAGGAGGGAGGCCACATCGGGTTCGCTGCGCAGGTTCCGAATTTGGAGGCAGAGTGTGTTTTGTTGTGCTTTCTACAAGGGATGGTGCGGGGGGGGCCCCTCATTGGTTCAGGTTGGCTCCCAGTCGCCTGGGGGACGGGGTGAAGATTAATAGGGAACAGTGATAAAGACTCCCTCCCCGCCCGCAACCCTTCTCGCTCACTCCCACCCGCCCCCCCGGCACATACGTAGCACCCGAGTCTGGCCCGAGCTTCAGCATATTCAGCAGTCGTCTTTGGATGGGCAGCTACTGGGGGCGAATCCGCCGCCGCCGCCGCCGCCTCCGCCGCCGCCGCCGCCGCTGCCCGCCGCCGCGCGCGCCGCCGCCGCCGCCGCCGTCGCCGTTGCTGGCGCCGCGCCCCTGCCGTCGCCGCCGCCGCCGCCGCCGCCCCCGCTGCCAAATCGCCGCCGCCGCAGCCGCTGCCGCCGCAGCCGCTGCCGCTACCGCCACGCCGCCGCCGCCGCCGCCGCCGCCACAGCCGCCGCCGCCGCCGTCGCCGCAGCCGCCACCGCCGCCGCCGCCGCCCCCGCCGCCGCCACCGCCGCCGCCGCCGCCGCCGCAGCCGCCGCCGCCGCCAAGTGTACTCTGTATTGTTTTTTTGGCAGGGATGGTGGGGGGAGGCCGCATCGGGTTGGCTGCACAATCTCCGAATGTGGAGGCACAGTGTGTTTTGTTTTGTTTTTTACCAAAGGATGTTGCGGGGTGTCCTCATGGTTCCTGGTTGGCTACCAGTCGCCTGAAGGAGGGGGTGTTTATTAATAGGGAACAGTAAGAAACCCCTCCCAGCAGGGGAAGAAGGGTTGTTGGATGAGGAAAGGAAAACATCGTTCGACCACCTGCGCCAAGAGGGCTGGTGGGATTCGTGCGAGCATGCGCTCACGTGGCCCCATCAGTTTCTCCACCTTTGGTACACGCCCCAGCTCCCAAATCCAAGGACTGCCTGGTGAAGAGCGCCCGCTGGCTCTCCTGCCGCTTCTGGCGCGGGTTTGGGGGAAGATGCGCGAAGGTTGCCATGGCGGGGTGGTGCGACAAGCGGGCTGGAGTTTGGGATGAAGCTATACGTGGATCATCGGCCTTGCAGGTCGCTATCTTGAGCCTCGCTCTGGACTAAACGAATGCCCGCATCCCAGGCATGACGCTCGCGACCTTCTACGTGGACCAGGACAAGTTCTAGGACGATATCGATATTGTGTTTTTGATCACAAGATCTCTGAAGCTGCAGTTCCCTAGCGTGGAGCTTTACACGTGTGCGTGTTACTGCATATGGCGCCCCAGGCTGTGAAGGGGATGCGGGGGGGCGAACTATTGTGCCCGAGCTCTCCTTTTACGATGTCTCGGACCATGCTCGCGGCGAATCCCCGCGCACCATTCTCAGGGAGCGCATCGACAATGTCATGGCGCGCGCGGAGCGCCGGGAGGAAGATGTCGAGGAACATATTGTGCAGGCAGCCACCATGGGGCTCGATTTGGAGCCCGATTTGCTTCACGTCGACGTCGCCGATGCGTCGCCCGCGTCGACGATGCGGCGCGATCCTCCAGGCCACGTGGTAGTGGCAGCCGCCTCTGGGTCGCCCTCGTCGCACCCGCCGCCAGGTTGGAGGCCCAAGTTGCGGGAAGCTGCGCAAATACGGCACGATCTGCCAGGTGGCCAATGAGGACGAGGCAGTGACAACGGCGTCCGAGACGCCGCCCATGGTCATGAAAAGGCCACGACGCCCGATCCCAGGACGCCAGCACATCGTCGGTAGCCTTGAAGAGGCAGCGGGACTGGAAGACTCGCACCTCTCCAAGGTTATCAGACCAGGGACAGGCGGGCACCCCTCCCAGCAGAGCAGGACTGCCCGACAAGGCAGCTGCAGTCCAGCCGCGGCATCGCTGGCAGCGCGGCTCCAGACGGCGCCGGCTCCTCATCGCAGCGCCCACCTGGGGCAGGCGCCAGAAGCGGGCCCAAGCCGAGGTCCGAGCCGAACGACTACGGACACCACTTCGGCTCAGGTGGAGGTGGGGGGGCTGGGGGGGGGGCGAGTTTCCACTTGAGCCAAAGTGGCTACGGGCCACTATGTCTTCTCGATATTACTCCTGGCCCTCTTCTTCTCTCTCCCCCTGATCCTCCACATCCCTCCTCTCCCCTCGCTCTCCCCTCTGCTCCCTCACCCCCATGCTTCCCAAGTAATTACACAATATGGATACTACTCTCCTCTCTCCCTCGAAGACGCTGGTGAGGTGTCTCGACCTTCTCCGCGTATGGATTTTACACCGAATGCCGCTGAATCTATAATTAATATGTGTGTGTGTGTTTCCAATCCGATCGTTTCCAGTTCTTTCACAATGTCGCCCCTGCTGTTGGCCTCATTTTCCCGTTCTCCGTCCTTCCAAGTCATGTTCCCGCTGTAGCGCTGACCTCATTTCATTGTTACGGTTCTTCCAAATCGTGCTCCTGCAGCTTTGGCTCCGTTTCCGTTCTTCCAGTCGTTCCAGCTCGAGCTCCCACTGCAGCGCTGGTCTCATTGTCGCGGTTTCGGTCCTTCGAATTCATGCTCCCGCTGCAGCGGTGATCTCATGTTGCGTTCCGCGCTTTCCAAAACGTCCATGTGCATGTCCCATCCTATGTCATTTCTGGTTTCCATCTGACCTTGTTGTCGAAATGAGTCGCGTTCTTGACGCGAGGCAATACTATGCCGTGATATTCAATGACTCGCGCACTCTTTCGGGACCATTGTCCTGTTCGACATCCGACACTGCGAATAGAAAGGCGACCTACGCAATGGTAAGGGATGGGAGGGAGGGGCAGGATGTCAGAATAGACGCTTGCGCACGTAGCTTGGCTCCCCCACTCTCCCATTCTCTCAGCAGTCGGATAGATGCTGGGATGGAAGATTCTATTCAACAGGTAAGCCCACGGGCCGTTGGACTCGCCTGTCACGAGGATCCAATTACCCACCCCACCCCCCAAAAAGTAAGCCTCTCTGCCCCCCTCCCCGCGCCCTCCCCCCCCCTCGTTAGCAGGAGCTCGACCTCCCCCACTGACCCGCGCAGCTGCTCCCCCCCCTCCCGCTCGGGGTGCGGAAGGCCCGCCGTGGTGCGGTCCCGCCTCTCGCAGTCCGCGCGGCTTCCTCCCCCCCGCGCCGCCGCCCCGCCCGAGGCCTACTGCGTCCTGCACCGGAAGGACCTGCAGCGCGACGAGGCGGAAGGCCCCGCCGTCGCCCCGTCGGAGGGAGGGGGGGGAGGGCGAGGAAAGGAGGAGGGGGGCGGGGTGACGGGCGGGGAGGAGGAGGAGGAGGACGAGGGGAAGCAGGAGGAGGAGGAGGAGGGGGGAAAGAAGAGGAGGAGGAGGAGGAGGAGGAGGAGGAGGAAGGGAGGGGGAGGCGGAGGATGGGGGACGGGCGAGGACGAGAGGAGGAGGAGGAGGAGGAGGAGGAGGAGGAGGGGAGGAGGAGGAGGAGGAGGAGGAGGAGCAGGGCGAGGAGGAGGAGGAGTAGGAGGAGGAGGAGGAGGAGGAGGAGGAGAAGTAGAAGGAGAAGGAGAAGGAGGAGGAGAAGGAGAAGGAAAAGGAGAAGGAGAAGGAGAAAGACCAGGGGGCTGGAGGGATGGCAAGGTGCCTTGGGGCATTCACGCCAGGTCACCATCCGAATGGAGGCAGCTTGAGCGCGACAACGCCTCCTTGCGTGCGGCTCTGACGTGCGGTTGTGCTTTGTCTGAACTGTCGACCTTGGTCATTCTAAGGGTCTCCGCCTTGCTTGGCGACCACCCCTGCATCAGGTGAGTCCCCGATGTCGGATTTGCACGTTCCCTTTCCACCGTGTCCCCTATCGCTCTCGTCGAGTGTGTTGCCAATTGTGGAGCCTCAGTGCCTTTCCTTGAACGCCTCACCGGTGCTTGCTCCACCTGGCTCCTGTCAGGCGTTGTTCTTCCTGCCTGCAGTCATGGCCACTCACGCCTCTCTCCACGCTGTGCCTCCATATCTCTTGGAGATGCATGGCCTGACATCGATGTCGCCCATCTTTTTGCCCCTCTCGATCCTGACGGCCAGAGCTGATGTTGGCCATTGCTGCTATTATTTGTCCTTCCTCGTCCTTGCTGCCACTGGCTACGCTGACGCTTGCACGCATGGATACCTCAGACGTTCGTCTTCAGGGTTGGGGGAAGACGACGAAGGAGGAAGATGTGGAGGAGGAGGAGGAGGAGGAGGAGGAGGAGGAGGAGGGCGAGCGGGGGAGAATGGAAGGTGGTGCCCGACACGTCAGGTCTGTCGCATCGCTGGGCTGCTGTGGGAGAGCAGGAGACGTGGACAGATTCCCTTTCCGCTCCTCCCTCTCTTCCTCTTCCTCCTCGTCGTCGCCAGTGGCCTCAGGGACGCGAGGAGTGGAGAGGATGGGGAGAGGGCGGGCCCCCTGGGCCTCGCGAGGGCCGTGTCCTGCTGGGGACACCTGGCGCCAGGGGACACCTTGCTCTGGCAACGCCCGCAACGGCGTGTCGGCTCCGCCGGGGGGAAGCTCGGCGGCAGGCGGCGGAAGTACGAGCGGAGGACGCCAAGATTGCCCGATCCGGAGCTTCCGGAGGCGGCCACCGAGCGGAGGCCGCCGGCCCCGAGGTGGGGCTCGTTTCGGTTCCTCCTCCTCCTCCTCCTCGTCCTCGTCCTCGTCCTCGTCCTCCTCCTCGTCCTCCTCCTACTCCTCCTCTTCGTCCTCCTCCTCCTCCTCCTCGTCCTCCTCCTCGTCCTCCTCCTACTCCTCTTCGTCCTCCTCCTCCTCCTCATCCTCCTCCTTCTCGTCATCCTCCCCTTCCCTTCCCTGCGGTCCGACCTCGCTGGAGTCCGTTTGCGATTCGCTTCGGCTGCAGCCTCCGACGCGGGTTCCGGTTCCTCGGCGAGGCCTCACTGCTCTGCCGGTGTCGGCCGGTTCGAGACTCCTCCCGCCTTGGCCGCCGATTTCTGCCGATTCGATGACTTTCGATCACCGATTCGACGTCGATTCGATTCTGGGCTCTCCTGCCAAGGACACGACATTTCTTGCACCGAAGCCGCGTGGTAGACGCGTGCGGCAAGGCCCGCAGACGCCCCACCTCGCGGGCCTCGGGGGGACGGCGGCCGGGGAGAGCAGCCAGACCTTGCTGGGCGACACGGTGCCAGAGGACATCGAGGAGGCGGGGCGGGAGGAAAATCAAGCAGTGGCGAAGCGTCCCGGCGTGCCTATAGGCCTACCAGAAAATGTTCTAAGAACCTGTTGTGGTCTGCACGAGATGTTCTTAGAACATTTCTGGCTGGGACTGTCTTGTTTGAACACATTGGGTTAATGTTCTAAGAACATCGCTTTGTTTCCTAGAACATTTTTGGGGTTCTAAGAACATTTCGTGGTAGGACTATAGGAATGCCGGGACGGCCTGCCACTGCAGGTGGAGGGTTGCGAGGGTTTGGAGGAGCGGGAGGAGAGCGGGAAGGCCGAGGGCTCCCTTTTTTGGATGCCTCTTGTGGGGTCCATGTTGGGCCCTCGTTGGGGCCTTCGGGGGGTGTCGCGGGTCGTACTGGCCATCTGTGGTTGCTTCGAAGAGCAATTGGAGACAAAGCGAGGCGACTGGACGAACGCACACACAGTTCATGCAGGTCATCAATGACTTATGCTCTCTTTGCAACCGAAGGTCGGGGAGGAGTGAGGATGAGGAGAAGGGGCGATGAACAGGAAAAGAGGAGGAAGGAGAAGATGGAGGGGAGAGGTGGAAGGAGCAGGGAGGAGGAGGTGAGGGAAGATGGGCTGGGCGCTGGCAGACTGCGAGACCAGAGGCCATACGTGCAGAAGTCCAACGCAGGTGCCCATGCTTTACAGAGTAAACAACGAGCCCGCCGCAGGTCACGATTTAGCGTCATAGCAATGGGGGTGGGTCGAGGGAGGAGGACGAGGAGGAGGAGGAGGAGGAGAGAGCAGGAGGAGGAGGGGGAGGAGGAGGAGGAGGAGGAGGAGGAGGAGGAGGAGGAGGAGGAGGAGGAGGAGGAGGAGGAGGAGGGAGGAGGAGGAGGGGGGGGGTCACGGGTGGGTTGCGGGCTGGTCGCGGGTGTGTTTTGGGTGGGTCGCTCGCGGGTCGCGGGTGGGTGGGCGAGGACGACGACAACAGCAGCAGTCATTCGAATCTGGTTTGCTCTTCGCTGCTCGCGTTTCGTCGATGCGTACATGCTGCTGCTTGGTTGATCATGCATGCCCCAAACTCCTTCCGATATGCCTTATCTTATCATGCATGCCCCAAACTCCTTATGATATGCCTTATAGGTCTCAAAGAGGATAATGAGGAGGAAGAGGGGGGACAAGGAACAGGGAGAGAGCGAGGAAAGAAGGAGGACGAGGAGGAAACGAGAAGGGAGGGTGCAAGTGGAAGGGATGATTATTGAGGTTGAAAAAGACTGATCAGGAATGAACGGACGAAGGAGCAATAATTTGGGCAAGCGGACGGGCGGGCCAGCCCGAACGGGCGGGTCGGGTGGGCGGGCCCTATCGAGCGTGTCGGGCCGGCGGGGCATCAAGCGGGAGGGCGGGCTTCCAAGCGCGCGGAATGCCAGACCCTGACGGACCCTGACGGGCGGAACAGGCAGGCGGAGCCTAAGGGGCGGGCCGGCGGGGCGGACCCTAATGGCCGCGTCGGGTCGGGCGGGCGGACCCTGATGGGCGGCTCAGGCGGGACATTGAAGCGGGCGGGCGGGATTCAAAGTCGGAAAACGGGGGGACCCTAACGGGAGGATCGGGCGAGCGGATCCTGACAAGCGGTTCGGGCGGGCGGGCCACAAAGGGCGGGTCGGGCGGACGGGACGTCGAAGCGAATCCCATAATTTGTGAAGAAGCTTCAGGCGAGAACGCGAGTACTTATTAATCCCACCAGCCCTCTGGGCGTCGGTGGTTTAGGGCGTTTCCTCTTCCACCCCTTCCTCTTCCCCTTCGGGGAGGGGTTTATCACTGACTGTTCCCTACTAGTAAACACCCCCTCCCCCAGGCGACTGGGGGCCAACCAGGGACCATGACGACACCACCCACCATCCCTTGTAAAAAAAAACAATACAAACCACACTGTGCCTCCAAATTCTGAACATGCGCAGCCAACCCGATGCGCCCCCCCCCCCCCCGCACCATCCTTGTCAAAAAACAATACAGAGTGCACTTGGCGCGGCGGCGGCGGCTGCGGCGGCTGCGGCGGCGGTGGCGGCGGCTGTGGCGGCTGCGGCGGCTGCGGCGCGGCGGCGGGGGCGGCGCGGCGGCGGCGGCGGCGGCGGTAGCGGTGGCGGCAGCGGCGCGGCGGCAGCGCGGTTTGGCAGCGGGGGGCGGCGGCAGCGGCGGCGGCGGGGCGGCGGCGCAGCGGCGGCGGGCAGCGGCGGGCAGCGGCGGCGGCGGCGGCGGCGGCGGCGGCGGCGGCGGCGGCGGCGGTGGATTGGCCCCCAGTAGCTGCCCATCCAAAGACGACTGCTGAATATGCTGAGGCTCGGGCCAGACTCGGGTGCTACGTATGTGTTGGGAGGGCGGGTGGGAGGGATCGAGACGGCTTGCGGGCGGGGAGGGGGTCTTGACCCCTCCCCCTACCCCCTCCCCATGGACCTGGACGGGGGGGGAGGTGTCAGCGCGTACCTTTTCGCCCAAGTTGGCTACAAGAGGGCCACAACGAGCCCAAAACAGCCTCCAAGATGGCTCAAGATAGCGCAATATGCTTCGACATAGCTCCCAAGATGCTCCAAGACGCTCCAAGGCCGCCCGAAGATGGTTCTAAGTGGCCACATGAGCTCCCCAACGAGGCTTCGACTTAGCCAACAGCGTCCCAACACCTAAGAAAATCAATGTCTTTTGCTTTCTCACCCTTTCGCTTCCGATGGCCATCCGAGGCTTCAGGATGGTTCCAAGATGGCCCATGATGGCCCCAAGAGGGGCCCAAGCGAGACCCAAGACTGCCCCAGGAGCGCTTGAAGAACGCTCCAAGATGGGTCCAGGAGGCGATTGCTGGTGCTCCTGATGAAGGGGGGGGGCGTAATTAAGGACCCCCCTTCGTTGACCGATATCATCGAAGATGGCCCCAGGAGGGCCCCCTAAAGCTTCCAAGAACGCCCCGACAAGGCTTCCGAAGGAGCCCAGACGGGCCCAAGAGGCGCCCAAAACGCCCCAAACAGCTTCCCAAGAGGCCCCCAAGAAGCCTCAAGAGTCTCTCTGAGGTTCCCAAAAAGCTCCCAGGCGTTTTAAGAAGTTCCCACGACAACTCCGAAGAGACACCCTGGGATATTCTTATGCTAGTCATGTTTATTGATCCGCCTCCTCTTTTTTGTCCTTCTCCTCCTTATCATAATCATCTTTGTCCGCCTACTATAATACTCTTCCTTCCCCTCCTCCTTATCAGCCTCCTGCACCTGCTCCTGCTCCTGCTCCTGTTTTTTTTCTCTTCCTCCGCCGCCTCATCCTCCTCCTCTGTTGTTTCTGTTCTCCTCCCCCAACATCATCCTCCTCCCCCTTTGGCCCATTTGCATATCCTATTATTCGCCTCCTCCCTCCCTCCGGCTCTCATCATCATCATCCTTGCCCGCATATTATAATACTCTTCCTCCCTTTCCTCTTTATCAGCCTCCTGCTCCTGCTGCTCCTCCTCCTCCTCCCCCTCCTCCTCCTCCTACTTCTCCGCCGCCTCCTCATCATCCTCTGTTTGTTCCCCCTTTTTTCTTCCCCGACATCCTCCTCCTCCCCCTCCTGACAATTTGCTGATCCTGGTTTTCGCCTCCCCCTTATCTCTCTTCTCTGGTTTCGTCGGTTTCCCAAGCTGTCGCTGTCAAGACGTAAGAGACCCCCAACGAATTCCCCAAGACGCCTCAAAGTGCCCACAAGGAGATTCCAACCGCCTCCAAGAGGCGTCACACGGCATCAAAGCTGCCTCCCTCAGGCCCCAAAGCGGCCAACCACGAGCATCGAACCAACACCCATGACGCCTCTGACATACCGCCCAGCCAAACTGGCCAGACACGCCGAAAGTTACAAGATAGCCCCATGAAGGCCCCAAAGCACCCTCCCCCCAACAGCATCAAGAAGGCCCGAACAAACCACAACCATTAGTTTTTCGCCTCAAGTTCGATATGCTTTCATTTCGTACAAACTAACCACCCAGAGTTCCACTACGCCCTGCCACGCACCTGCCTCACTTCGCCGCTTCCTCTAGCGCGGTGGCGGATATGTGCGGCAGCGCAGTTGGATATTTCAAGTCACGACCCCGACCACCGAGATTTGGCAAGGATGCCACAGGCGAGACCCAAGGAAACTCGCGTTAGGGGAAGAGTTGCGTAAGAGCTTGCAACAAGCATCGCAACATAATGTAACACAGCAGAGCTTTCCGAACGATCATAGGCAACACAGATGGCACGCACGCACCCCGAACGTTCGCAAGCGTACGCATTCCCCGTGTATTCTTGATGATCCTCCTCACGCACCAAGAGACTGACAATCAGTGAACACGACGACAAGGAACGAAGAAGGAGGAAGAGAAGAGAAATACGAGGAGAAGAGCCAGGAGAAAGAGGACGAACAGGAGGAACGAGAAATGCCGAGAATAAGTAAGAGGAGGATGAGCCAAAGAAGAACGAGGATGATCAGGAGGATGGTGACGAAACGTCGAAAGAGGAGGAGCAGGCTGACAAGGGAGAAGGAGGAGAAGAGGAGAGGAAACCACGGCGCAACAGTTCGCCTTCTGAGGCCATCCTACAGGCCATTCTACAGTGCATCGTGTCCGCCTCAACCACTCTCCCCGAACACCTGTCTCCCTCTTCCCCCCAAGGTGACCGACGAATACCAATCATCGATGCTTATTCACAGAACGGCTGTTTTAGGATGGGCTGGTGGGGATTCGCGAAGCGTCAACAATTTGTGAGGAGGTCGAGGTCTCATGCGAGAGCGCAGTTCCTGCACCTCGAGAGAGCGCAGCGCCTGGGTAGATTGCATGGAGGTCCTGGGCGAGAGGGCGATTATGGTGTAAGTTGTGAGGAAGGTTTCGAGCGAGAACACGGTTTGTAACACATTCGTACGAGGTATCGGGTTGGAGCAGTGATTGTTGTAATCCAGGGGTCAAGAACGCACCTTGACGCCCATGAGTAAGTTGTCGGGCAAGAGACAGCGTGCGAACCCTGGCGGGCGGGGATATTTTAGATGAACAACTGAATGGGTACCGTGCGCGGGGAGATTAACCTTGCTTATTGAAGACGTTTTCGGCTTATCCCGTTACCGTGTCTGGCTTGTGGGCCTGAGGCTTCGTAGGCGTTCGTAGAGGTTTCGCGGGAGGCCTGTCGGGGGGCCTTTCTGGGGGGGGGCGCATTGAGGCCCCTCGGGGGCCGTTTGGGGGGCCTCTTGGGGCATCCTCGGGGGCTCCTGGGGTCTCTTGGGGCCTCTTGGGCGCCCCCCTTGGGGCCTCCTTGGGGGCCTCCTGGAGGGTTCCTGGAGGGTTCTTGGGGCGGAAGACTCGGATCTTCGATTCGTGTTCCCCCTCTTGGGCCCTTCTCGGGGCTGTGTTTGGTCCCTCTTGGACCGTCTTGGGCGCCCCTGGGGCAGTGTTGGAGAAACCCTCTTGGGCCGTGCTGTGGCCCTCCTGGGGGCCTCTTGGGCCGTCTTGGGGCGGTCTTGGGGGCCTCTTGGGCCGTCTTGGAGCGTCGGGAGCTCGAAAAGTCGAGGACCCCAACATCATAGAATAAATAATTGGAACTCGATGATTTTGGCATCTCGGTGCCCTCTTGGGGCGGCTCTTGGGGCTCTCTTGGGCCGTCTCCGAGGCCTTTTGGGCAGTCTTGGGGCCATCTTGGGAGTCTTGGAACGATATTTAGGTTTCGGGGCCCTCTTGGACCGTCTTGTGGGCCTCTTGAGGCCCTCTTGGCCCGTCTTGGGGCCGTCTTGGGTCCGAACAAGTCACGCGCCTGAGCCCGAGAGAGCCTCCATCTCGGGGAGAGCTCTCGTCACCAGTATGTCAGCATCCACGGAAGCCAGCATCCGGCGCGTGCTCCCAGTCTGAGGCGCTCCATGACAGGGGCGTCGCCTTCGAGGATGGAATGATTGGCTTGTTTTCCACCACCACCACCACCATAAGTTGGAGGGTGGAAGGAGGAGGAGGAGGAGGAGGAGGAGGAGGAGGAGGGAGGAGGAGGAGGAGGACCCCCTCCCCCTCCAACTTATGGTGGTGGTGGTGGAAAACAGGCCCATCAATGGAAGGGGCCGGCACCACTTCCTCGGCGGAATGAGCGGCGGACGAGCGACGGCAGAGCTGGCGAAAGAGAAACACGAGGCCGCCTCCGCGGGCGCAGGCCGCGCGGCAGGCCGCGCGGCAGGCCGGCGGCACTGAAGAAGGCGCCCTCGAGAGAAGAGAGATGGCGCGCTTCTGGCGGAGGCGGAGGGGGAGGAGGAGGAGGAGGAGGAGGAGGGAGGAGGAGGAGGAGGAGGAGGAGGAGGAGGAGGAGGAGAGGAGGAGGAGGAGGAGGAGGAGGAGGAGGAGGAGGAGGAGGAGGAGGAGGAGGAGGAGGAGGAGGAGGAGGAGGAGGAGGAGGAGGAGGAGGAAGAGCTCTCTGGGCATCTCGGGGGCAGCGGCAGGGGAGGATGGGCTCACTCGGGGACGCATCGACCCCCCATCGCCCGCTCATCGCCGATGCGGGCGAGATGGCTCCACCCCGCCGAGGACCGCGCGGGTCCGCTCTCGCGGGCCAATCGCCGATCCATCGGCGATGTATCGTGGATTCCAGGGCGAGGTGTCTCCCCCTGAGCTCGTCGCGCCTAACGTTCGTTGCCCCTCAGTTTCTGGAGCCGCCGTCTGAGATCAGGCACGCCAGGTGTGGCCGGCCCAGTCCCCAGGCTGGGTGCACACGCGGCCGTCGCGTGGCCGGCCTGGCTGGCCCCCCCAGGTGAGCAGGCAGAGCGGGTGGCCTCCCTCCGCATCGTTCGCACGCCCCGCTCGGCCTCGTGTGTGCCCTCGCCACCCGTTTTCCCCCTCCCAACGGCCGCCCGCTCTTCCTGCCCCCCCGCCTCTTGCATGGCGGCCAATTCGCTACAACGGTGCCCCAGTTCAGTTCGCTCATCCGCCAGCGCAGACGACCCCCGCCGAGCAGCCGACGACAAAAGTGCTCCCTGTCCCTTGGTGGCCGTTTCCTGCTTCGGCGGCACGGCCCTCCCGGTGCGCGTCCACAGTCAACCCGCATAATAAGGATGGGCCAAGGGTAATTGCCCTTGCACCCGTGCCCCCTCGGCCCATCCTTGGCCGCTCTCGCTGGCCGCGCCCCGCTCGCAGGCCCTTCCAAGGCCCTTGCATCCTCGTCGCGCCTCCTCGAAGAGGAGGAGGAGGAGGCGGAGGAGGCGGAGGAGGAGGAGGCGGGCTGACTGCACTCGGTATGCATGCCGTCCCCCGGTGCTCGAGGCCGCCTGCGCACCCCTCGGCACGTCGGTGTTCGGCGGTCGGGCCTCCACAGCTCTCCTCCGCGGCCGCTCGCTGCGCTTTTCCCTCACGCCGTGGCGAAGCGTCCCGGCCTCAGTTGCCTCGATACGCCCGTTTTGAAACGCAACACGTCTTGTGCTCAAGACGTCCGTGTCAGTGCGTTGCGTGTTGGCTCCACGTGTTGGCCACGTTTTGGCGAGCGTATCGCGTCGGACCTATGTTTTCAGTCCTCGTGTTGAGCTCCGTATCAATACGCTACGTGTTGCGTCTTGCGTATCGGGGCAGCTAAGGTCCTGCCTCGCTGATAGGCCCATCAAAGAATGTTCCAATCACCTTTTGTGGTCTGCGCGAAAAATGTTCTCAGAACCTTTCTGGTTGAGTTCGTCTTGTTTCAACTCGTCGGGCTTGTGCTATGAGGACGTTATGTTCGTTCTTAGAACATCTCTGGGTTTCTAAGAACATATCGCGGTGGGCCTGTAGGAATGCCGGGACGGTCGGTCCCTGCTCAAAATTTCCGCTCGCTCTGCGCGCCCCGCGCCCGGGCGCGCCCCGCTGTCCCTGGCCCTCGCGCCCGTTCTCGCCGGCGCTGCCGATGACACAGCTCGCCATGTCCTTCGTTCGGGGGCGACGATAGGGGGGGGGATAGGCATAGAGGGGGGATGCATCGACCCCCAATCGCCCACTGATCGCCGATAGGGGCCCGATAGCCCCAACCTGCACGGCAAGGTGCGGAGGCACTACCGGGGGGCCTATCGCCGATCTAACGGCGATGTATCGCCGATTCCAGGTCGATGCATCCCCCCTTATGCCAGTCCCCCCCTATCGTTGCCCCTCACTCGTGCTCCCCTAGATTGGTCTCTCTAGTCGTTTTTGTTTGTGTGCCCACTTGCTGCTGGAAGGGGCCAGGAGTCGCGCCATTGCACCGTTCTCCTGCGCTCGTCGGGGGCGGCAGGGCTGCGAGGTGCCAGACGGCGCAGCCCTTCTTGGTAGCTGTAGTGCTCCTAGATGGGGTCGGAGAAGATGGGGTCGGAGGTTCGCGCCGCATCGCCGATGCATCGCCGATGCGGCTCGATGTGGAGCCCCATTTGCTTCACGTCGACGTCGCCGCTGCGTCGCGGACGTCGACGATGCGTCGCCAGTGCATCCCCGATGCATCGCCGATGCATCGCCGATGTATCGGCGATGCGGCGCGATCCTCCGACCCCATCTACGCGGACCCCATCTAGGAGGCCTCTATGGAAGGGGCCAGGAGTCGCGCAAGTGCATCGTTCTCTTACTCTCGTCGGGGGCGGCAGGGCTGCGAGTTGCCAGACGGCGCAGTCCCAGGCATCCGCCGAGATGATTTTCTTCAATCCGCGGCCCAAGAGGTCCCGACCCCTTCCCTGGGGGCGGTGTTTCGTCCCAGATCCATTCTTGATGGTCCCCAGGGCCGATAGCGGGCCCCGGAGGCCGAAATCCAGGAACAAATCATACCATCGGATCTTTGGGTTCTCTTTCTCTACTCGGGGGCGGCAGGGCTTCGAGCCGCCGGACGGCGCAGCCCTTCTTGGTAGTGACCCGTGCTTTGGGAGAGCGGTCAGCTAGGTGTACGCAGGCGAGTCGTGAGCATCGTGCTCGTCTCTTCCATCCTTTCGTCTCCCCCCGCGTCCTCCTCCCCTTCGTCTCGTTCCTGCAGGGCTCGTTTCGATTCCTCCGATTCGGTTTGAGTTTTATGATTTCCGATTCTGGTTCGATTCGACTTCGGATTCCGATTTGGATTCCGATTTCTCAACGGAGGCTGACTAGCCTGCCGACTTCCGCCGATACGACTACTCCCGACTTGGCTGCCGACTTCCGCCGATCCGATTCATTTCGATCGCCGATCCGACCTATCGATTCGATTCTGGGCTCTCTACAGTCCTCCCCCCCTACGGTTGGGGACATCTTTGGAAAGCGTGTCGCTCCGCTGGTTTTTGCCCACCACTCTTCGGCGCGACACGCCATCCCCTTCCCGGCTCCCAGGTATCCACGTCACGAGCTCTTCCGAGCCTCTCGCCACGCGGAGCGGAGCGAAACGCTGTCCCCCTTGCGAGGCACAGCGTGTCGCCGGGGCCGCCGCGGCGGCACGCGATCCACAAGAGCTCCCGACCGTATCTCGCCTGCTCCCCCCTTCGGTTGGAGTCGCCGAGGTAGTGATCAAGCCGCTGAAGCTGCAGCAGCTGGACACCACCAACACTGTCCTGTGCTGTGGGCTGCCGATGACGGTCGGCCCGTGCGCAGCGAGAGCGTGAAGGGCGGGAGGGGGCGGAGACGGGCAGGAGAGGGATGTGGAGAGGGCACGCGCGTTGGACCGCCATGGCAGAGGGTCGCCGCGCCTCGCATTTCATGCACGCCGGTCGATGAAGGAGAAGAGAGGAGGGATGAGGCGGGGAGAAGCGGGAGGAGGAGGAGGCGGAGGAGGAGGCGTTGCCCTAATCGAACGGGGCGCGGCGCCCCCCCACCGCGGCCGCGCGCCCCGCCAGGGCGACCCCGCGCGTCCGCCGCGCGATAGGCGGACCGCCTCGCCCGCTGGGCTTGCCCCCAACGGGGCTGCAGCGGGACAGCCGACGCCAGGCCGCGGGCCGTGGCCCGAGGCCGCACGGCCTCCGCCAGGCCGAGCCCGCCTGGCACCGCAGGCTGAGGAGGCTACGTGCTGCGGGCCGCACGCTGCTACGAGTACGTGCAGCTGCCGAGCGTCTGCGGCAGCATCATTCAGCTATGGGAGGCTGGAAATGTTCGAAGTGCAACACCACCAACGGAAGTTCTTTCTGGTATTGTAAGCAGTGCGGCAGCGCCTATCAGCAGAATGGAGCTAAGAGAACGTCATCACGTGGGAAGTCCAAGCAGGATGCTCGTGACAGATCGGCAAGCCGCAAGAGGAAAGAAGGTCCAGTTCGTAAAGTTATCAATGAAATAGGGCCGATGCATCCAAATCTTGCCAGAGTTGCCGAATCGTGGATCCCACCGCCGCCCCCCGAGGAAAAGGAAAGAGTCAAGGAGTACAAACAGAAGCAGTGGAAGAGGATATACCAATTGGCGGAGCTAATCAGATCTCTCAAGGCCGCAGGCAAGTCAGCCGCCATCGAGACCACGGAAGCTTCTGTTCTGAAGGCAGCCATATTGCAGCTTTTGCCTGAGGCCGAGCAGCAGAAGTCAATCAGCAAGGGAGCAGAGATACTTAAATATAAGATAGAAAGAGTTGAGAAGCAGCTTGGTGAGTTGGTCAATGAGAGAGATGATTTGCACAAACAGTTTACTTTGGCAAAAGAGCAGCTCAGTACATTTGTTCAGGACCAGCACAAGCATCTCTCTGCCGACATGGATTCTCATATGCAAGTTGATCAAGGCAATGTGCCTGCTCGGCCACCACCGCCACCACCTCAGGCGCCGCAGCGCAGGAGTGCCCAGGGGACTGCGGCTGGATTGGCCCGCCCCCCACCCCCGCCCCCTCCTCCCGCGGAGGGGTTGGGAAAGGGAAAAATCAATGCATTGTCGCAGATCACCGCCTCGCTGCAGCAGATATTGGATCAGCAGAAGAGTCAAGCAGCTCAGATTCATGCACAACAGCAGGAGTCTCAAATGCAGGCGATGAAGTTGCAATTTCTATTTGCACAGTTCGGCGCGTCGAATGGGCAGACAGAGATCCCTCAGACCCAGGCATCGCCGAACGCACATCAACGAGATGCTCCAGTTCACCAGTCACAGCCACAGACGATACCGTCGCAGTCACAGATGCCGACGCCTGTGGCAACATCCGCCCCTAGGCCTCCCGTGTCCATTCCGTCTCAGTCACAGATGCCAAAGGACGTTGCTGCGGCTGCAGCTCAGCAGTGCCCAGTATCGGAGACCTCTGCCACGGGCACCTTCGACGCTGGCGATTATTATGCCAAGATGCAGGAGGAGCAGCGCCGCAGAGATCAGCATGACTTTGACGAAGCCCAAGCAGAGGATGAGCAGAGGCGTATTGATGAAGAAGCAGAGGGACTATTTTGTGATGGATACCATGCGGAGTTCGACTTCAGTCAGGAGGCGGAGGTGCATCGCCAGTTCAAAGTTGATCAGCAAGCCAGGGCAGCAGCGCAGTTTGAAGAGGAGCAGCGCAACATCAACGAGGAAGCTGCTGCCAAGATGAAGGGCGTTCCTCCCCCTCCACCGCCGCCCCCATGTGCGCAGCCGGCGGCGTCGCCTTCACACTGGTACTCATCATCATCATGCGGCATCCCTGGCACCTCACAGCCCTGTGGTCCCCAAGTTGCACCACAGCAGTTCGACCTGACCGCGCAGGATGCCAAGACGGAGGAGCGTAAGGGTTCTTCCACTCGTAGCAGGTCAGGTGGAGGCCGTGCTGAACGCCTTCGTCGCGGCAAGCCTGACGACCTCGGCAACTCAGAGGAGGTACGTCGGGAGGCAGGTTTTCACATCCCAGGCGTGGCGCACGGAGGAGGCTAGCATCAGCTGGGTCTCCAGAGGTGCAGCATCAGCGCGCTGTGCACTCTGCCCCAGCGCTGGAGTTGCGCACCTACACCGACGAGATTGGGGACTCCGTCGGTGAGAATTCAAGCAGTTCACATCTACATGAAGCAGCGGGTGAAGGTGTGAGTATCGACCGCTCTAGTCATTCAGGCATGCTTAGCTTTGAATTTACTCATGAGCCCAGCGGCACGCACTGCTCAGCGTACCAAGCTGCTCAAAGGGGCGCCAGGGGGCACCGACCGTTGGCCTCGGCCTTCGGCGCGCGCTGCCCAGCGCCCCCATCGACGCAGCGCATGTGCGCCAGAGGGTACCGACCGCCAGGCAGTCAACGGCATCGCCAAGAGGCTTTGGGGTGCCTGCCTACGTTGCAGTCGTCTTCTCCAGCGCCATCGGGCGGAGCGAGAGGAGCATTCACGGTCGACATCTACAACTGCATGTTCGGCCACAACGAGAATTCACCGAATTTATTTCAGATAGGCGATTTGGCGAGGGGTAGTGCTGTGGTTCCACAGCACCATGCTGGCATGGAGATCGACAGCCCCAACGCGCACGTTGATCATACAGCTTCGCAGCCAGCTATGGCAGCAAATTGTCAAGTTAAGCATGTCCCTACGTTACCAGAGTTGTTTGATCAGATACAGTGGCGGTTACAGCTCTCTTGGGACTACCGTGGTATGCTATTGCATCAGTTTGCTGACTTGGCTCTGCGCATGCACCCTCCCCGTCCAAGCACGGGCCAGGCCACGCATCACGTTTATACAGACGCATCTCTGTACTCCAAGTCTCCCGAGCTGGCGGCGTTCGCGCTGGCCCACGCCATGCAGGACCCCATGGGGTTCGCGTGCCAGGGCTATGTGGCGGCACGAGCGGCGACATCTCACTCCTTTGACAACATGGCCGAGCAGACCCACAGCACTGAGGTTGAACTTTTGGGCGTTGTCTGGGCGGCTATCTTTTCTCTTCAGTTGCCCTTCGATGAGCAGGTGTACATCATCTGCGACAATATGGCGGCGGTCGACAAAGCTTTGAGTCGCGTTGCCTTGGTTTCTGAGTTGGACAAGATGGCGGCCACTGTTCTCAGAGACGTGCAGCGCGTGCGTCCGATATCAGTGGTGCAGGAACCAGGTCGCCAGGACTACCCATGGAACGAAGCAGTCGACTCGATATCCAGGCACTTTACTAAAGAATCCAATGTGCCACCAGACCTACCGCAGGCTCCACGTCAAGCACTGAAGTATACGGTAGATGCTGAGTAGCAGTTTACAAGGTTTTTAAATCCGACGACATCACCATATCCGTGCTTCTTGGAAGATGGTTTTCACTTTGAGGTGCACAAACAGAAGTTACTGCAGCACGATGATCAGGGAGAAGGCGGAATGGCAGTCCTGCGCGCACCTACTCGAATTGACTATAAGATTGCGACCTTCAACAATGTTACGATATGCTCTGGTGATGATAATGAAGGTCCCGACAAATCGGTTCACAACTTTGCCCGACACGAGGAGCGCAGAGCCCGTGCAAGACATCTTCGGCTACAGCTCAAAGATGATTCTGTGCTACTGGCTGGCACCCAGGAGACATCACATCCTGCTGGTAAGTTCGAGTCCGATGGCTTCCTGGTTGCCAACTCAGGCTCGGACTCCAAAGGGCTTGGGTGTACACTCTTGGTCAACCTTGAGCTTGGTTATGCACGCGGGAAGAAGGGGCCATTAAAGTTGTTGACCAAGCACGTCCACGTGATACATGCAGTCGAAAGATTTCTTCTTGTGCAGATACATGCGCCCATGATGGTGCACACAGTGGCAGTCATCCATGCTCCTCACCACAAACGTGGGACCATGGACCCGCCTCAGCATGTTCGCAAATGGCGGCAAGACGTACGAGCTGTTTTGGACCAGCACCCACCGACTATTATTATGGCAGATGCGAACGCTCGCATGGGCAGCGAGGTCACAGATGTTTCAGGAAGCATCGGGCCGACAGATTCACTAGACTTCAACGGATTCGAGCTCCAGAGGGTTTCCAATCAGTACAGCATGAAGATCACTAACACGTTCCTCCCTCATGAACATCCTGAAACTTTTCGTGCTAAGTGTGGAACACTACATCGACTGGATTACATCTTGTTGCAGGACAGCATCCATGCTTGTGCGAAGACCTGCTACGTGATGACTGACTTGGACCTTGGTGGCAAATCCCCTGACCACTGGCCAGTTGTTGTCACCATCAAGGCTGCTAAATATTACTCAACACCCGAAGCAGGGAGAAAGAGGCTCGACAGGCAGAAATTGGCGGATCCTATCAGACAGAACAAATTCCGACAAGCTCTCTTAGAGATGCCAGTGGCGCCGTGGGCTACGGACATCAATCAGCAGGTTGACGACTTCAATTGCAAGATCAACCAGCTCACAGCTGAGTTATTTGCTGAGGGCCGTTTCTCTCCTAGGAAGCCATGCATCAAGACAGGCACTATGGCGCTTATCAGATTACGCAGGTACGTACGGCGTGCACAGCAAGCGGTCTTTAGACATTCGTGGGAACCTATCTTTCTATTGGCTAGGCTTCTGCCAAGGCAACTGGACACATTCACATGCGCAAGTCGGGGCCCTGATGAGTCCTCCCAGTGTCCCTGGGAAGGCCCTATGCGCCAGCTTGCCATGGCATGCGGCGTATTTCAGGCCGAGGAGTTCACAATCGAAGAAATGCTTGCTGCTGCCAGATGCTTTATGGATGCAACTGCTGGAACACTTAC